TCCTGTGCATGTTTGTCATATATGTCGTCATTATTATCACTACTATTACTTAAACATTCCATCAATCCTATCTTTACTGACATAGGGTGGAATGATCCGAAATCTAAATATCGGTTCGAATGTGGGAGTTTCCTGTAAACACACTAGTATATGTTTAACTTCCCACCCACTTTCCTTTTTATGCTACAATCTAACATTGGAAGTTCACCTTCTTAACTTTCTCATTCATAAGTCGATTGAATTGCCTGTACTATCGAGTTGATGTGATCGGAAAATTTATTTACTGTCTGGTGTTTTACGTACAGTGAATGAATGTGTCATCTATACATACCTCCACCATAATTTTGGAGTGGGACTGAATGCCTCAGTTGTTACGTTTCACCACCTATCCAGGAATATATCTGCGACAATCAGGGATATTAATGATCCCATAGCAACTTCCTCTGTTTGTTTGGGTTCTCTTGGAATTTCAATACTGTGGAAGTCACGCACAGCTGCACACTACTGGCATTATATCATCTAGTGGCACTTTTGTTCTTTATGTCCAAGTTCTTTGTCAGTTAGAAACCCCTACGACTAATAGAATGGCATACAAAAGAGATATAGAAAAAGGAATATTGAAGAAGGAGGAGAAATAGTACCACAGAATAACATGAGGGTCTAATGGACATGGTATATCTCACACAAACGGTGAATGCATCTGCACCAACCATTGAAAACGATTTCGAGTCATATCACCAGTTTTCTCCAGCCTGTCATTGATTCTTCCCATCGTGAGGACCAAGAACCAGCTAGCTAAGCGGTCTTCACCTCCCTAAGTCACTGGGTCAAACCAAATATCAAAAACTCCATAGACTGATTCCTTGTTCTGGATTGACCATCACTAGCCAACTCTTCTCCAACCTGATCAATCTTAAGCAAGTCAGCAAACACTGTCTATCGAGAAAGGCGACTGCTAGACATGAGTAACACATGTCCTAACCTACTCTAGAGATTCACTTTCACAACATCACCGATTGATTTCCCCTCCTTACCTAACACTCGACCAAAACCAAACCTCCGCACTACTCACACTATTACATCCACCGCCTAACACAAGAGATAGAACACAAGCACCTATGATCAAAGACAGCTAGTCAGACCTTCCATATCTTCTACTTCGAATGAACATGTCTCACTCACAGCCGTAAAAGAGAGAGGAACGAACTTCTCCTGTGCAATACACACATGCTTTAATCGATAGTCAAACGGATATCGCGTATAAGCTAGAGATGACATAAGTTGACAAATCCCATACGAGATTTCTCTATCGCACTGATATCTCGTCAGCAATCAGCCAGTGTGTTGGAGCTAATGCAGCTTCCCAGATAATTAACAAGCTCTAACATTTCACTTGACATGCCATTCGCTCCCACCAAACGCAAGATGATGTTACAGGACTGGACTACACTGACTCCTAGTTTAGAAATAGGGAGTGAAGTGGTAGAGCGCGTTGACCGCTTCACCTATTTGGAAAGTATCATCAGTCCCAACAGGTTGATCTCTGAAGAAATCTCAGCACGAAACACAGCGCGAGTTTGGTATATGACAGTTTACGCCGTCTCTGGTGTAGACGTGATACCCGACTATCGACCAAACGGCGGGTGTACTGCTTAGCAGTCAGCTCCGTCCTCCTTTATGGCTGTCAGTGAGACCTTGTCATTGAGAGTGGAAGACATGATCATAGGTGCCTGTGTTCTATCTCCCGTGTGAAGTGGTATAATAAGGTCAGCAATATTGAGGTTAGGTATCGGTCGAGTTCTAGGTAAGGAGGGGAAATCAATCGACGAGGCTGCGAAATTACATTGACTGAGATGGTTAGGACATGTGTTACGTATGCGTAGTCATCGCTTTCCTCGACGGGTAATGTTAGCAGATATAGGGTCAGACTGGAAAAATGCTAGCGGGGGTCAATGAAATCTACAACAGTTAGTCTAAGCCACGTAGGAAGGTGTAGACTTCCTGGTTGGGGTCCCCAGGACGGTAAAAACCAATGGTTGGAAACTATTGGTGACATGGCTCAAAATCGTTCTCAATGACTGGTGCAGATGCATCCACTCTTTGTGACTTATGATTTCCGATGAAACTGTTTTGTTCTTCGTTATTACTATTCCTTTGTCTCACACCTCTGTTTACTGTCTCCCTCTATTATGCATTTCTTCTACTTTCTTCTGTTGCTTTGGGTTACAAGGTGGAGTGTGGCGACTTGAACTTCCGCACATATGTGCAAAGTTCTATGTCGAAAACAAACAAAAAAGACTCCCTATCTTTAAGCTAGAATTCGATGTAGTTCGAACTTGTAACAATTGACTGCAGCAAATCGCATGCCAAAATTCGAAGACTGCTGCTCAATGTGTTCAGAAGACTCTACTCCAATTTTATCAGTGTCTTCACCCTAAGTCGAGTAATTCAGTTAAGCTCAATTCCATTAGGACATCTACGATTAAATTAAACAGAAATGGTGAAAATGTATAACGACAGCGAAGACGAATATAAGATATTAACGCATCGGAGACAAATCACATAGGGTCGTTATAGCCATACGATCCTGTGGTTATGTAAACTTCAGTCAAGTAGATGGAAACTGATTTGATTCACTTCTTCACCCCCCCCCAACCTGACCCTTACAACTAACCACTCGTGAGGAAATTAGTTAAAAATTAGAGAACTATGGTTGACTAACCGAATGAATTTTCGGCGTAAAAATTTGCAAGAAATCACTACACACTTCATAAATACACGCAACCGAATAAATGCAAAGAAATCATAATAAAAGGAAATTTATGAGAAAAAGAATGGATCTATACCAATGAGAACCACGTTGAGCCACATCACCAACAATCCCTAAAGTCTTGAGGACGCTGAACAGTTCGCACTTCTATAAGCAGCTCTAGTCGACAGCCAACAACACCGTGAATTAATGACATATTTTTGGATTTGACCAAGCACAACTCTTTTCCAATAGAACACATTGTCAGCTAACATGGTTCTACGAGGAAGGCGATGGTTGACCTACATAAAACACGTTATATCTATCCTAATTCATGCAGCCTCATAACTTCAACGATTGACTTTATGATTAGCCTCATTGTAATTATCCGTATTATATGCCACCTAACACGAGATGAAACGCAGCCACCGGCAAGGGGTACAAACGCACGAGTGTCCTTCAACCGATCAATCATGAAAATAAGTGACTTTTGCACAAAACATAATGTACTTTTACAAGAAAAGGCATCAACACACATTAAACAGGGCATCTTTCTCTGACATAACTTGAAAATACGTCCCAGTTATAATGAGCAGTAGCAGTTGCTAAGTTAGACTTGTTTCTGTACATGTATTTACCGAGTTAACTGAAGACGAGCTGTTTTGGGGAATCGCTTATCTCTCTTATCCTGCTGTTCAGTCGTCCCCAAAGCCCTCAACTGAATTATTATGGTTTCCAGTGAGAATATCGACAGCTATTGACCAGGAAAATGTGGATAATAGAACAAATTCAAATAAATGACATCAACTCTAAATCCATCTCTAATCGCAGCCACAACCATAATCGTTACCCTAACCCTAATCCTAACCCCAATTACAACCCTAATCCTGACCGTAAATCTAACCCTAATCCTAATTATGACCCTCATCCTAACCCTAACGCCAATACTTACCTTAATCTAATCTAAACGTGATCTGGGTGAAATTTCCTGCTTAGTTGGTGAATACCTCTGATATTTCAACTTAGATAATGACAGACACTGTTAGCCAACGATTAGCATGCGTTCAATCAAGGTCATTGGAGAGTTTGCACTCCTGCGACGCTATTGCTGAACTTCGCCTAGCCACCAATAGTCAAAGACTATCTAAAAACTAGTAGGTGGACCAAGTTTCGATTCCATAACCCAGTGGTTGGATGACAAGCACCTAATTCAGTAACTCACGGTTCCATAGAAGCTACAGTTAAACCAACTTTATCTAGGAGTCTGTCCATTGGTGGAACTGTCTACCGAGGCACGCCTTTTCTGCTTTTTCTTTGGTTTTCATATAGGGAACGTTGAAATTTTCTTACATTGCACGAATTATTACATAAGTTCACCATATGTTTCGTGAAAACTGAAGCTGAAATTAGTAAGCTTCTGGATAAAAACAGGTGTATTGCAATATATATCCGTCCGGATATAGTTTAATCATAAGTGAAATTATACAAGGGCTCTTTATAAAGAGCCGTCTACTATAGCAGACATTAAACGTCATCGGTAAAACATTATGGATGAACAGATAGATCTAAACCATATCAAAATGATCAGCTTGTAGGCATACTTATTCCACACACGCAAAAATTCTCCTACCATAAAAGGATAAATATTTTTCAGTTGAATTATAGAGTAGGAAAGTGACCAGAGGTGTTATATGCATTGGCAAGAAATACCCAACTTCTAGAGAAATTTACACATTGATCCTCAAAAATCTAGAATGGTGAAGACTGAATAAAAGCCAACGCCATTACTATTATTTGGCGCCCTTAGGAACATAAAAGTAATTACACAAAATGCAATTCAATCCGTACGGATTCAACGATGAATATCACATAAACATTTTGGAGCAGAATAAAATGCAGGACTGACTTTATGTTGGCGAATTCCTTTATTCAAGCCATTACAATAATCAGTTAAGTCAGTTTTACTTCAGTAGCAACGAAAAATCGAAAGTGAAAAGCATGACCTCGGTGAAGAGCAATAAACAGGATCTTTCAGACTAATTGTTGAAATCCTACGGCGTACTGTGCCATCCATTTAACTTCAATTCGAATGTGGAAACAACCTCAAGACGACAGTGTTCAAACTGAAGTTAATGAGAAGTCATGTAGATTCAGATTACATATCAATATATATACTTTTTCGTGTAAAAACTATTGCCACGGATTTACTGTTGGGTATATAATATCTAGTGATGCTGAAAATATTCGTTACCTCAGATGTATTGCCTTTAATTGCCCAACAGTGATGAAGCCAACAAAACTAACCTTGAAACAAGTCGCTTAAATCATTTACCCTCTCAATATTTGATCAAATTTCAATAAATTTCGCCAAACCCAGGTTCCAAATTCTCAGAGGTAGTTAGCTTTGAGAATATTTGGTAAGGTTGAAACTGCTATTGAGTGAGAATAAAGGTGGTATTTGAGTGTCAATTTAACAAGTGTGGAGAGGGTGTGAAAATGTACAAAAGGAACACATGAGAGTGATAATAGTGAATTAATTGTTAGGGCAAAAGCAAACGAAAAGTAAAATTTAGAAAATCACTATTCGTCCCTTTTAAAAAAATTTTGATACTTTGCTTTTTAATTTTACTTTTCGTTTCCTTTTGCTTTGACAATTAATTCACTGTTATCATTCTCATATGTTCCTTTTGTACATTCTCACACCCTCTTCACACTTGTTAAATTGACACTCAGACACCTTTATTCTCACTCAACAGTAGTTTTAACCCTATCAAATTTCAATCTTTTCGCTGTTGAGTACCGCGTAATTTACGACTTTTAAGAATGTTTTTATAATGTGTACGTATATGGACTGGATATAACTCCACCTTCCACTTTGTCTTTGTTTAGTCAACATGCATATTCCAGTCAGAATCTAGGAACAAAAATTAGCTGTAGAAAGACATGATACACATTCTTTCATATCAGTGCATGTAGATAACTATGGACACCAATTTGATTGGGATAATATCAAAGCGCGATAATTAAACATGAGTCTAGATCCTCAACAAAATAGAAAAATAAGGATTGTACAGAACTAAAGTATACAACAATCAACGCTTTTGCTCCTACCATACATAACCCTGATCGGCTTCGTATCATGATGCTACCCAATGGGCCCTACAGAAATTCGTGCGACATCCTACAGGTCAGTGTGTCCAACGAGTTCTAATATTCCAGATCTTTGAATTCGACTCTCACTGAAACTTCACTCATCTGCCTCATGATAATCTTTTTATTTACGCACTATTATACTCTTTTTCATCCTAACTATCTAGCCATTCAATAAAGCTGAAACTTACTCTTTGTTCATATTCCCCGCTTTCCTAAACTCTGATCGCTTTGATTAAAAACACAACAGCACCAATGCTTGGGAAAAGCTATATTTTCATCGAAAGCATCATATTCTCCATGGTAAGAACAACATGGTTAGCATTAGACATTGCAAATGTATACTATCATTCCAAGGACTCTCTAGCTCCTCGTATGTGCTTTGTAAATGTACTTTCAATGGTGTACTATCCATAATTTTACTTTATACCATATCACAATTTCCCAGCACGTTCTTCTCTTCCTGAAATAGCCTTTACTCATGTTGGGGTATAGCGTTAACCCGGATGTACTGGTTGACCATAACTACAAGCAGGAAATGAAATGAAGTCTGTATTTTACCTAGACCTCAGTGGTGACCTTAGTGATGTGTTTACAGTTCACAATTCATACGAACCTGTTCTGATTGCTTGTGCTACAATTCAACAATCTAAACTTTCGATAAAACTCTAATTCATGACATTTCACCATTGTTATCTATAACATATTTGATCGTACCCGTAGAACTGACATTCAGATTTCAGATTTCAGATTTATTGGTTGAGGATAGAAGGCTTGCAGCCTATGTTAATCCTTTTCTAGTAGATTTCTGTGGTTGTCCAAACCCTTCTTGAACGAATCAATTGAGGTTGCAGACACCACTTCTTCTGGGAGTCGGTTCCAAGAGTTTATGACTCGATGTGAGAACCAGTACTCAACAGCAATATGATTTCTCCTTGGCTTTTGAACTCTCCTGCTATGTCCTCTAAGGTGTTCCGACCTGGTGGGAAGGAAAAGAGAGAATAGGTCAGGTCCGTAGTCATTATTTAAAATTTTAAACATTGTGATTAAATCTCCTCTCTGCCTACGGTATGACAGTGAGAAGAGATTTAAACTATCTAGTCTTTCCTCATATGATAAGTTAGCTATGCCGTGAACCATACGTGTTGCCTTCCTTTGAACACTTTCTAGAATGTGTGAATCCCCTTTTAGACACGGACTGGCGGCCTGGATGCAGTTTTCCAGTCTTGACCTAACCAGAGATGTGTATAAGGAGGTGAACATATCTCTGGTAATTCTTGTAAAGGCTCTGCGAATCGCCCATAAGGACCTGAAACTACGTGCAGCCACCGCGCGACAGTGTGCTGTAGTTTTTAAGTCGTGGCTAACTATGACACCTAAGTCCAAGTGAGTCTGAACTGATGGAAGTGTTATTCCCTCTAGTTCGTAGGAGCTCGTGCTTGCTTGTCCAATGCGCATGGTTGCACATTTTGCCACGTTGATCGGGAGCATCCATTCAACAGACCACTCCGACAGTTTGTTGAGGTCGTCTTGCAAGGTGGACGTATCACTGTTGCCCTTCAGCTCCCTCCAAATTTTTAAGTCATCTGCGTATAGGACCATAGGGGAGTCGGTGAGCAGAGGTAACTCATTGATATACAGAATAAAAAGGAGAGGACCGAGAACCGTGCCTTGTGGCACTCCGCTACTTACTGCTGTCCAGGAGGAGAGTTTTGAGTTGATCCTAACCCTCTGCCTCCTATCTATGAGGAATTCCCTGAGCCAGTCTAGTAGTCTGCCTTTGATACCAAGACTTTCCAATTTCATGAGTAGTCTTTTGTGAGGTACTTTATCAAAGGCTTTACTGAAGTCTATGAAGACGACGTCAACGGGTCTTCTGTTATCCTTTGATTTGACCCAGCTTTCTCTTGCAGTCAGGAGATTTGACAGGCATGAGAGGTTCCTCCGGAAGCCATGCTGTGCTCCAGATAACAAGCTGCTATTTTCCAGATAAGCCATGATGCTTTTCTTGATAATTCTTTCCAGTGTCTTGATTAAAGTGCTGGTGAGACTGATAGGCCTGTAATTTGAAGGGCTTTGTCTTGATCCTCCTTTGTGTATGGGGGTTACTATGGCGTCTTTCCAATCACGTGGCAACACTCCATTTTGGAGAGATAGCTTGAAGATCGTGGTCAAGGGGCCGGCTATGTGGGCTGATAGCTCCTTGAGAAGCCTTGGATGAAGACTGTCAGGACCCATTGATTTTCCTGCATCTAGTTTCATTAAGAAGTTGAGCACGATGCCTTGGTCGATGTCAACGGAATCTATCCCATGTTCTTCTGATGCAGCCAGAGCTGATCCTATAGGCAGTGATGACTCCTGAGTGAAGACTTGGGAGAAGTAGTTTGCCATTGCTTCTGCTTTTTCTTGATCTTCTTCGATTGTATCTTTGTCAATAATCAGGTTTGGGACACCATTGGGTGTTTTATTCCTGAAATTCAAGTACGAGAAAATTTTCTTAGGTTGTGCCTTTGCATTTTGGGCCAGGTGTGTCTCGAACTTCATCCTTGATTGGCGGATTTCTGCGATAGCTTTATTTCTAGCAGTAGTATATAATTCCCTGGTCTCAGAAGTCTCAAGTGTTGCAAACAGGTTCCAACATTTGCGTTTACGTCTGAGTAACTTACGAATCTCCCGGTTTATCCAAGGGGGGAATGTTTCCGACCCTTTGGAACAGACCAAGGGATGAAGGGTACAGTTACTTGGGCGTAAAGTTGCTTAAATTGGTTCCATGCGGCTTCTACTTGGGACTCTGGATTGATGTACCAGTTTACTGAGTTGGCTGCTGAGACGATCGCATTTATGTCAGCTTTCCAAACGTTTGGTCGAGCTGGGGTTTTGGCCCTTGCTGCCGTTGCTGTGAACTTGAAAGTGAGCACAGCATGGTCACTTCTTCCTAACGGAGGAAGATGTTGTATGAGATCCACATCCTCACCGTGTGAGAACACTAGGTCCAGAGTTGATGAGGAGTGCTGTGAGTCATAGCGCGTGGGCTTAATGATATGTTGGACTAGGGCTAGCGATATACTAGATTCTAGCAGTTTATGGTCAAAGGAGTTGACTGAAGATGGAGTTGTTAGGCTCGACCAGTCAACTGTTGGGGCGTTGAAGTCACCGACTACGAGACTTCGACATTTTGAAGTCCAGGAGCCTAGCTTCTCTATTAGGAAGTCGTCTGCACTGCAGTCAGGACTGCGGTACACAGCAATGAGGTCAATGTCTTGGCCTATGCATTTAAGTCTGCAGCGTAGAAGTTCGCACGACTCACTTTCGTGGGCGAGTGCTTCGATACTACGCACGGTTAAGCCTTTCTTGAGGTAGATGACTACGCCCCCTCCTTTGCGGTTTAGTCGGTCTACCCTGTGCACTTCGAAGTTTGGCAGGTTAACTTCGTTGTCAGTGACATCGGGTGTGAGCCATGTCTCTGTGATAATAATTACATCCGGGTTTCCGGTTTCTATCATGTTTGCCAGCTCAGTCCTTTTATTTAACAGGCTGCGGGCGTTTGTGTAGCAGACTGTTAATTCAGATTGGTGCTTCCCCGGCCCACCCACAGAGGTTTCGGGATCATTAAACTGCGAACTCGGACAACCCGAAAACCCTTAATCTTAAGGTTCTTCTCACCGTTCCGGCGTCGCTCACTTAATTCTAGTGCCGCAGCCTGTCTTTTGACACGGTCTGCCAGGCTTAAGTCAGCGCGGACATATATCCCTGATCCTTTGAGAATATGAGAGTTGCTTAGAATAGCGTCCCTCTCCGCTTTAGAGTTTAGTACGACTTTGAGGAGACGTACAGGTTCACTTACTGTAGGGTCAGGCTTTTGACCTATTCTGTATACGCTGTGTATAGTAATGCCTGATACTGTTTGTGGCAGTAGCTTGTCTAAAAGGGGCTTGACCAAGTTAAGGTCATGCTCGAATCTGGTCTTAGGGTCGAGAGCCAGTGACTCCTCCACTTTGTGGAGAATGAGAGACCTATCAGAGAGATCGGGTTTGCTTTCCGTTACTTTCTTGCCCTGAGGCGTAAGTGTGTTTCTATCCTTCTTGGGCGGTGTGGCCGAAGTGTTATCCTTATCTCGCTTTTTGCGAGAGACTACGGTGCGCCATTCATTGGCG